GGGGGGATGGAGCCTGTGCCCCGCTGTCCTCTCGCCCGCGTTTCCAGGGCTCGGAGAGGCGCCGTTCAGGAATGTTTGCCTCTCAACAGGAGGAATTCCGCGCAGAGGACGACGGAAAGACTGTGGGAAAGGAAGCAGAAGTGTTTGTTGGAGGTGGGATGAGAGCAGGGGAGCCCCTTCCCGCGGGGGGTTTGGGGGGCCGGGGGTCTCCCCGCTGGCGGATCCGCTCCGGGCCCGTCCGTCCTTGGATCCTGCTGCCGAACGGGGGTGTTTGGGGTGCCCCGCACCCCTTTCCTCGCGGATAATGTTCCTGATCCGCGTGGAGCGACGCCTGCTCCGGGGGTCTCCACAGCCCCGGGAATGCCAAGCAGCCTGTGATGGCGGAAAGCAGCAGCTTGGAGCATCCCGGCCTGGATAGAGCAGCTGGCGAGGAATTCCTGCAGGAAGCCTTCCGGATCCTGCTGGAGGAAGGCGTCAGGAAAGGCACGGATGCGGCGGAGAAGGTGGGCAGCGGGAGCAGGAGCCGGGGGGGGCGCCCCGGTGTGGGTGTCCCGGTGTCCCGCGGGAGCCCGAGCCGGCGCCGTCCCGCAGGTCTGCGAGTGGAAGGAGCCGCGGGAGCTGCGGGAGCTGCTGGACCTGGAGCTGCGGCGCCGCGGGGAGCCCCGGCAGCGGCTGCTGCAGCGCTGCCGCGACGTGCTGCGCTACAGCGTGAAGACGGGTGCGCCCATCCCGCCCCGTCCCACCCATCCCATCCATCCTATCCCATCCATCCATCCTGTCCTGTCCCGTCCCATCCCACCCTTCCCTGTCCCATCCATCCCATCTTATCCCATCCATCATGTCCCATCCCGTCACATCCTATCCTATCCCATCCATCCCATTCCATCCCATTCCATCCCATCCCATCCCATCCCATTTCATCCCATCCCATCCCATCCCATCCCATCCCATCCCATCCCATCCCATCCCATCCCATCCCATCCATCCCACCTTGTGCCATCCATCCCATCCCGTCCCATCCATCCCTTCCCATCTATCCCACCCTATCCTATCCATCCCGTCCCGTCCTGTCCCATCCCACCCTTCCCTGTCCCATCCCTCCGACCCTATCCCATCCATCCTGTCCCATCCCATCCCATCCATCCCACACACCCCCTCCCTCCCTACCCTCTCCCACCCCTCTGCAGCCCCCATTCCATGTCCGGGGAGCCCCCGGAGCCCGGCCGGTGCTGCCCTCGGTGGGCACCCCGCGCCGGCGGCCCCGGGACCCCGTGCGAGCCGAGCCGGGACCGGGTCCCGTGTGGCTCCGGCGCCGCTCCGAGGCCTCTCGCTCCGCCCTCCCCAGGCCACCCTCGCTTCTTCAACCAGCTCTTCTCCGGCTTGGACCATCACGCCTTGGTGGGACGCTTGATCACGGAGACCCTCAACACGAGCCAGTGAGCGCCTGGAGCCGCGGGGGCTCCGTAGGGGATCCTCCCGGCTGCCATAAACAGGGGGGATTGGGGAGGGAGGGGGTCCCGTTTCCAAACCAGGCTCTGGGGAGCGCACGGTGCCTTCCAGGTACACGTACGAGATCGCGCCCGTGTTCGTGCTCATGGAGGAGGCCGTGCTGGCCAAGCTGCGGGAGCTGCTCGGCTGGAGCGCCGGCGACGGCATCTTCGCCCCGGGTGCGCCGCGCGGCGGGGCGCCCCGGGGCGGCCGCGTCCCGCTCCCGGCCGGCGCTCATTCCCGCGGGCCCGTCCCCCCCAGGCGGCTCCGTGTCCAACATGTATGCCATGAACGTGGCCCGGTTCCACCGCTTCCCGCGGAGCAAGCGGGAGGGCAGCTGGGCCCTGCCGCGCTTGGCGCTCTTCACGTCGCGCGAGGTACCGAGCGGCGCCGCGCTCCGCTCCGCTGGGACGCGGGGAGGGACGGATGCGCTCCGGAGCGCTCCCTCACCCATCCCTGTCTGCTCCGCGCTCAGAGCCACTACTCCATCCAGAAAGGAGCCGCCTTCCTGGGCATCGGCACTGACAACGTCTACCTGGTGGGCACGGACGAGAGGTGGGAGCGCCGCGCGGTCCCCGCGGGAGCCGGCCCGGCGCCGCTCCTCGCCCAGCCGCCCCGTGTGCCCCTTGTCCCAGGGGGAAGATGCTCCCGGAGCAGCTGGAGAAGGAGATCGAGAGGGCGCGAGCGGAGGTGCAGGGGCTGGGAAAGGGGCGGCGCGGAGCCGCGGGCGGCCGGCGGCCCTCAGCACCACCCCGTCCCCGTCCCCGTCCCCGTCCCCGCAGGGCTCCGAGCCCTTCTTCGTGAACGCCACGTGCGGCACCACGGTGCTGGGCGCCTTCGACCCGCTGCGGCGCGTGGCCGACGTGTGCCAGCGCCACGGCCTCTGGCTCCACGTGGACGTGAGTGAGGGACGGGGGGTCCCCGCGGCGCCCGCGCGTTGCACAGAGGGGCCTTGGGGGGTCCCCGTGTTGCCCGGAGGGACCCCAGGGGGTCCCCATGATGCCCCCACATTGCTCGGAGGGGCCTTGGGGGGTCACCGCGTTGCCTGGAGAGGCCCCGGGGGTCCCTGTGACGTCCTCACATTGCTCGGAGGGGCCCTGGGGGGGGTCCCAGCTTTGCCTGGAGGGGCCCTGGGGGGTCCCTGTGTTTCCCAGAGGGGCCCCGGGGGGTCCCCACGTTGCCCCGAGGGGCCCCGGGGGTCCCCACGACATCCCTGCATTGCCTTGAGGGGCCCCGGGGGTCCCCACGACATCCCTGCATTGCCTTGAGGGGCCTCGGGGGGTCCCCACGTTGCCCCGAGGGGCCCCAGGGGTCCCCACGACATCCCCGCGTTGCCCCGAGGGGCCCTGGGGGGTCCCTGCATTGCCTTGAGGGGCCCCGGGGGGTCCCCACGTTGCCCCGAGGGGCCCTGGGGGGTCCCCGCATTGCCCCGAGGGGCCCTGGGGGGTCCCCGCGTTGCCCCGAGGGGCCCCGGGGGTCCCGCGGCTGCGCTGAGCCCGGCGTCCCCGTGGCGCAGGCGGCCTGGGGCGGCAGCGCCCTGCTCTCCAGGGAGCACCGGCACCTCCTGGACGGCATCGAGAGGCGAGTGCCAACGCGTGGCGCCCAGCGCGGCCTCGGCCGCTCCCGCGGGAGACACCGTCTCTCCATGTCCCCCGGCGCACGCGGCCGACTCCATCCCGCCTCGTCCCTCTCCCGCAGGGCGGATTCCGTGGCCTGGAATCCCCACAAGATGCTCTCGGTCGGCTTGCAGTGCTCGGCCTTCCTGCTCCGCGACAGCTCCGTAGGTGCCGGGTTCGCCGCCCGCGGGCATTATCCAGCCTGGGACACGGGTGTTATCCAGCCTGGGACAGGGGTGTTATCCAGCCTGGGGATGCGGGCATTATCCAGCCTGGGACACGGGTGTTATCCAGCCTTGGACATGGGTGTTATCCAGCCTGGGACAGGGGCATTATCCAGCCTGGGACATGGGTGTTATCCAGCCTTGGACACGGGTGTTATCCAGCCTGGGACAGGGGTGTTATCCAGCCTTGGACATGGGCGTTATCCATCCTGGGACATGGGTGTTATCCAGCGTGGGACACGGGTGTTATCCATCCTGGGACACGGGTGTTATCCAGCCTGGGACACAGGCGTTATCCATCCTGGGACACGGGTGTTATCCAGCCTGGGACACGGGTGTTATCCAGCCTGGGACAGGGGTGTTATCCAGCCTGGGACACGGGTGTTATCCAGCCTGGGGATGCGGGCATTATCCAGCCTGGGACACGGGTGTTATCCAGCCTTGGACACGGGTGTTATCCATCCTGGGACACGGGTGTTATCCAGCCTGGGACACGGGTGTTATCCAGCCTGGGATGTGGGTGTTATCCAGCCTGGGATGTGGGTGTTCTCCATCCCGGGACGTGGCCGTTCTCCCGCTCGGGACGCCGGTGCACGGGCCGTGCCGCGCTCACGCGCGGCTCCCGCAGGGGCTGCTGCAGCGGTGCCACGGCGCCGGCGCCACGTACCTCTTCCAGCCCGACAAGTTCTACGACGTGTCCTACGACACCGGGGACAAGAGCGTGCAGTGCGGCCGCAGGGTCGACTGCCTCAAGCTCTGGCTGCTCTGGAAGGCGCTGGGCACCGAGGGGCTGGAGCGGCGCGTGGATCGCGCCTTCGCCTGCACGCAGTGAGCGCCGGGGCGGCCCCGGCCTCCTGGGGCTTCTCGGGTGCCTCGTACGCACCCAGCGAGGCTGCGCCGCGCTCGCACGCGCCTCCTCGCCCGCAGGTACCTGGCCGAGGAGCTGAAGAGGAGGGAAGGCTTCCAGCTGGTGCTGGAGGTAGAGCCTGGGGACGGGGAGGACGGGGACGAGCACCGGGCGTCGGAGGGGACCGCGCGGCGGGGCAGGTCCCGCCGTGATGCCGCGGCCTCGTCCCGCAGCCCGAGTTCGTCAACCTCTGCTTCTGGTTCGTGCCGCCCAGCCTGCGCGGCCAGGAGGGCTCCGCCGACTACTGCAGCCGCCTGGGCAAGGTGGGCGCCGCGCGGGCGCCGCGGCCCGTCCGTGTCCGCGTGCGGATCCCAGCGCATCCCGTCGGTATCCGCGTGCGGATCCCAGCGCATCCCGTCGGTATCCGCGTGCGGATCCCAGCATGTCCCGTCTGTGTCCACATGCGGATCCCAGCGTGTCCTGTCTGTGTCTGTGTGCGAATCCAAGTGCATCCGCCCCAGATCCCAGCACATCCCGTCCGTGTCGGTGTGCAGGTCCCAGTGCATCCTGTCGGTATCCACATGCGGATCCCAGCATGTCCCGTCCGTGTCCACATGCGGATCCCAGTGCGTTGCCCTGTCCGTGTGCGGATCCAAGCCTGTCCTGTCTGTGTCCGCCCTTGGATCCCAGCCTGTCCCCTCCATGTCCGTGTGTGGATCCCGGCGTGTCCCATCCGTGTCCACATGCGGATCCTAGCACGTTGCCCATGTCCGCGTGTGGATCCCAGCATGTCCCGTCCATGTCCACATGTGGGTCCCAGCGCGTCCTGTCCGTGTCCGCCCTTGGATCCCAGCCTGTCCCATCCGTGTCTGCCCACGGATCCCAGCGCGTCACCCGTGTCCGCGTGTGGATCCCAGCGCGTCGCCCATGTCCGCGTGCGGATCCCAGCGCGTCGCCCATATCCACGTGCGGATCCCAGCGCGTCGCCCATATCCMCGTGCGGATCCCAGCGCGTCGCCCATGTCCGTGTGCGGATCCCAGCGCGTCGCCCATATCCSCGTGCGGATCCCAGCGCGTCGCCCRTGTCCGCGTGCGGATCCCAGCGCGTCGCCCATATCCACGTGCGGATCCCAGCGCGTCGCCCGTGTCCGCGTGCGGATCCCAGCGCGTCGCCCGTGTCCGCGTGCGGATCCGATCGGGTCCCGTCTCCGCACAGGTGGCTCCCGCCATCAAGGAGCGCATGATGCGCAGCGGCTCCATGATGGTCGGCTACCAGCCGCACGGCGCCAGGGTCAACTTCTTCCGCCAGGTGGTCACCAACCCCGCGGTGACCCGGGCCGACCTGGATTTCTTCCTGGATGAGATCGAGAGGCTCGGGCGGGATCTGTAGGGAGCCCGGGATCCCCGGCGGATGTGCGCGGCCCCTGCCCGTCCTCCGCCGTGATCCCGGCAGGAATTGCTCCTGCAGGGCGCTCTGACCGGCCTAAATCCCTGCGGAGCTCCCTGTGCATCCATCCCCCTGGGAACAACCCTCAATAAACGCAGAGTGAAAACAGGAATGAATCCGGGCTCTGTAGCTCCAAGGGAAGCGCTGGCACGGGGCAGTGGCATCCGTGGGGCAGGACGGGATTCCCGGGAAAGGGCAGCAAAGCCGTTCCGTGTCCGCTGGCAGACGAGCAGTGCCAGGGTGGGACCCGGCCCCGTCCCAAAGAACACCCCAGGGGCTGCAAGGTCGGGAAAAACAGACTTTACTGCTGGGTTTTCCATGCACAAAGGCTGGGCGAGGAGGGCAGCCCCGGCGCGGCGCCTCAGCTGCCCCCCATGCTCCGGAGCAGGGCGAGCAGCTCGGGGTCCACGCTGGCCGCGGCCAGGCAGGCGCGCAGCCCCGAGGCCGTGGCCCGCGGCCGCTGCCGCCGCTGCCACTCGCGCAGCCCCTCGAAGACCTGCAGCACCACGTTGCCGGGGTTGTCCTCGCGGATCTGCTCCAGGAGCCGCTTCTCCAGCCCCAGGCACCCGATGGCCACCTCGTGCCACTCCTTGCCCAGCAGCCGGGCCACCTGCATGAGCTCCCGCTCCGTGAGGCGCCGCTCGCTCCCTGCGGCCGCAGAGACCCCCCCGGGGCCGCCCGCCCCGTCCCCGCAGCCGCAGGGTCCCTGGGTGGCCCCGGTCCCGCAGGGTCCCTGGGTGGCCCCCATCACACAGGGTCCCTGGGTGGCCCCGGTCCCGCAGGGTCCCTCGGTGGCCCCGGTCCCGCCGGGCGCGGGGCTGCTCCGGCCGCGCGCTCCGGGCAGCTGGAAGCGCTCCA